ATGTTTTAGATGTGCAATAAGGAAGGATTTTTGAATATTTTCACTGAGGCGCCAGCTGCGGAGGAGAGAGGCGCCAGCCGCGGAGGAGAGAGGCGCGTTCATAAAATAAAGTTACCTTTTAATCACTGTTTCTCCATGCAGGAATATTTTTGGAGACTGAAATTTTGTATGTGGGTTCGTTTTATATTGTAAATGTGTCATAAGAAATTATTTTTGAATATATATTTCTACCCGCTATGTCCCTTGAGGACGCCGCTAAAGAGTCATGAAAATAATGATTTGCGGTAAAGAACTTCAAAAGAGGCGGCCAACGCTGTTTATCATATTGCGTTAAATATAGTGTCAATAGGCGTCGGACTGTTTGTTATGAATGAGATTTTTCACGAATGGCACTAATACATATAGATATACTGCTGCAGTTTCTCTAAGATCTCGACACACTATACTGTAGACTGCTCAGAAGTAACTCCGATCTGTGAAAAAAGAAATTTAAATAATTGGTATGGTACAATATACCATTCAAAATGGGCAAAAAGGGTTTCTTTTTGTTTGGATTTTGTCGCAAACAGTATAAAATGAAAACTGGAAAAATGAAATGTTGCAGTGTGGATACTGCTGAAATGAGTATTACTAATGATACGGTACCAGAATATTTCGAAACAGTAATGTTGCAGTGTATTTGAAAATTCCTGCCACCGAAAAAACTTTTCAAGCCACAGCTCCATTTTTATTATCGAAAAATTTGAAATGACTAATGTCAACTTGAAGTCATCATTTTTATCACGTTTTCAATGTCGGCAAAATTTAAATGCATTCTCCAATTTTGGAGATAGCCCGTAAATAGTAAAAACCTAACTTTTTTACGTAAGGTTAGGTTATAGGTTCATATTTTTTTCATTTATAGTTTAACTATTACTCTTTTTCCACATTACTTCTTGCAAGTTTGATTTCATACCTATTATTCACTTTTTTCTTTCTACCCACAGTATTTTCATGTTTGAAGTTTTATTATTTGATATTCAATGAAGGGATTCGCACTATTTTTGTACGAGTCACATGATAATTCAGCTTTGTTTGTCCTTATTTGAGATAACGAGTAAATCAATTCAGTTAACTTGGTGCATGAGGAATTATTTTTTCTGGAGCATATCTTGAATTTTTGAATCAATAATTGTTTTGACTAGCTAATAATTACCACACTGGATATTGAATTGACAGATTTATTCATTATTTATAAAACTTCAGTCAATATTTTATAACGCATTATGTTCACATTCAAAAGCACCTCGTCGTGGTTTGGTCATATTAATTATTTTGCAGTGTTGTTATGTTCGTTACTTTCATTTACTGTAGAATAATTGCAGATTAGTAAATCGTTAAAACTGTTAGTAAACAGAGTTTGCATATTCATTCATGATAACGACTGATAATTTTTCGGTTGATAATAATAATTTTTTTTCAGTGAGTAGCTAACAAGCCATAAAAAATAAGACATTTAAATGTCATTTTAACACCTTTTCATAACAAGTTTTTCATAATTTACAATTGTCCATTTCCTGAAAGGAAAAATAACTAGATTCTCAACAGTTGCATTACGCCCTTCTGTTATCAATCAGGAACGTTTTCTTATGAAATTACTCAAATTATAAATGCAGTGCCACGTGGTATAAACACGTTTGGAAAAATGCCCTCTAGCATTGCTGAGTTTCTGAACCTCCCGGATTCAAAGAAATATACAGGTCCCTGTTTCAGAAGGTCTTCTGCTTCTTTGCTAGCAGAGTTAGGAGCAAATATAACGGATATTAAGAAGCACGGAGGATGGAAGTCTACAACAGTAGCTGAGAGTTACATCGATCAATCTATTTCTTTATAAAAAGGCTATCGTCCTCTTTCTCGTCAATTCAGATATTTCAAATATATTAGAAGGCTCTTCAACATCGCAAGGTAACAGAATTTAATCGTATCTATATCTATTGTTCATAATAAAACTTCCTTGAAAATTTAATAATTATGTTTTGTTTATTGCTATTTGGTCGAAAAAAATCATGTTGAAAATACTTTTAACATTAATGTTAAAATAATGTTCAACACGCTACTTTGTAAACATCACCCTTTAATAGAAGATTTTTCTTTGTGAAAAATACTTTGATTTTCACGCAGTAACTTATCGGGGTGAACTAAAAAGTTTGCCCTTCTACACTTGTGTAAAGTTCTCCATTATAATTTTTTTTAATATTTTTTCAGATTGTGGAAGGTAACAATTACCCAAAAAAGATCGATAAAAAACTGATTTTTTCCTCCACAAAAAATGACTTTCGTTGAATACCTTTTAATACTCTTGACAACCATTAAAAATGTCACTTTTAATGACAGTTGTACAAAAATTTTAATTTTTGTGTAGATTTTTTTTCTTATGTTATCTCTGAAATCATTGTCAACTGTTCAGTTTATTGATACGATAGATTTTTATCCCTTAGAACATAACTTCAGTTAAAAATATCCACAACTTCAGTGATGCCGGTACTTTTTCACCATTTTCGACTTAATTACACTTTATCAGTTCAAATTTCTTTTATAGTTTTCGAGATTATAATAACGAATGTTTACACAAGTCAGGAAGGAAGGAGACATAAAAAATTATAATTTACATGTATGAATAATATAAGTAATACACAATACAAAAATTATGAAACATGGTTTGGATACTACAGTTTAGTAATTTTTGTATATAATGAGTATATCATAACTTTTACATACTTAAACATTTTTTTACAAGGAAAATGTTATAACATATAGCATAGCATAGTAGAATAGAAACATGAAATATGTTTTAGAGTTAATCATAACACTCCTTTTATGGTAAAATCACTGTTGCTGATTTCGAAAGCTTTATAGGGAAATTTTTTATCGCATTCGGCACCGTATAGAAGTAAACACAAGTAAGTTCACTCTCCGCCATTTTTGGGTCCAGATTCCCCACCTCGAATTTTATGCGCGGCTGAACTACAGCGCAACCGACTGAATCTGAGGCGTTTACCAAAGGAGTCAAATTGAGTCATGGAGTATTATTACAGAGTGAGTCGTTGTAAGTGGTGGTTTTGTATTTGTGAAAAATTTGTGTCTAGTTTCAAAATGAGCAAGTGTCGAGCTGTCGGTTGCTGTAGTTTGCAGGGTGATGTCGGCATTCATTGTTTTCGATTTCCAATTGACGAAAAAAGGTATCTTTTTCTATTATTTATTATGTAAGATTGCAGTAATGAACATATAACGAACATCTAACTAAAAATCAATCAGTAATCAAGATAGGATTGCAACATTTGTTTCGATGAAATGAGCATCAAGTCACACTTATTCTGCAATATAGGAAAGGATAGAATAGTTGGTTTTGAGGAATTATTTAACAAGAAAACGGCTTCTATAGCAGAATATGCCTTGGTAGTCGTGGCAAAAGGTATACATTCGAACTGGAAACAGCCTGTTGCATACTTTTTTACCAATTCATCCACATCAATACTGGATATAAAAAGTATTGTGATTGAAGCTGTTAGGCAATTAACAAAAATTGGATTGAGAGTGAGGGGTATCATTTCAGATTTTGGTTCTAATTTTTATTAACTTGCCAGAAAAGATCTCGAAGTGACTGTAGAGCAGCCATATTTCTTTGTTCATGAGAAAAAAATATTTTACTTTTTTGATACTCCTCATCTGCTGAAATGTAGCAGAAACTATTTTTTCGATGACTTTTTGAAATTTGATGAATTACAACGAACAAAAGTCATCTTGAACGATTTTACAACTTGTATAAGGAAAAGCAATATAGACTAGCACCCAAACTTACTGATTCTCATTTATTTCCAACTAACTTTTAAAGGATGAAGGGTAAATAAGTCAGTCAAGTTTTCAGTCATTCCTTAGCTACAGCGATGAATACTTGCCAGTTTCAATCAGATACCATCAGCAACAATAGGAACGGCTATATTCATTGAAAAAAAAAAAATGGATAACGTGTTCGATATTTTAAATTCGAATAGATTTGACGATGTGAAATATTTCAATAAACCTTTTTTTGGAACATCAAAACAAATTGATTTTATGAAAGAAATGAAAATATTTTTCAGCAAATTAACTGTAATTTCAAAAAAAGGAAAGATACACGACTGGACAAATGAGATTCATCGAGGGGTGGCATTTCTGCAACTTTGGGACAACCTACATAGTGAAGAACATATTGACGAGGAATATAAATCAGGACTGTGTGGAAAATTATTTTGATTATCTTAGAAATACTTGTGGAAATGCCAGAAACCTCCTATTCAAATTACCAGAGCTTTCAAAAACACATTTACTCTTCAGTATTTCACACAGGCAGAAGGAACTAACTGTCTAGATGCTGGCATAAATAGAATGAATATTCTTGTGGAAGTTCCAAAAAATCACCATAAACCTTTGAGAGTAGAGACAAATGATTATAGAACTCTAGCCACTCCAAAAGGCAATAGCTTGGGATATGTTTGTGGATATCTTTTGAGAAAATGTTCAAGAAAACATTCATGTGAAGTATGTACAAATTTTGCCACGGTGGCTAGTACCACACTAAATGGAACAAATGTATATAGTTATTTCAATGCATATAGTAATACAGTAGCCAAACAGTTTGGAAGTTTATATATGCCTCCAGATCCATTTTTATAATGTATCATTCGTCTAGAGACAATTCTTTTTAATCATTTCAACAATTTATGTGCCACTGATTGCATAGGCAACCAGTCCAAAACAATGTTTTTAAAAATCAACATTTTTCACTTTTTTCACAAGGGTAAGAATTTATTATACTTTGAAATTTGCCAATAGAAATTTGAAAACAAATGATAAAAAAATCAAAAACTCATCATTTTGAAAAACTATTAGAATATATTAGCATAAGTTTTTGACCTGTATAACCTTACTATATAAAATATCTTATTTTTATCAACTTCTATACAGTTCACAATCATATGAGATATTTATTCGGAGCTCCTCGTAGCAATGATGAAGTCAGATCATGGTCACATATTTTTGATCGAACCTCGTGCAGAGATGCACAACAGCTCTTAGTCGATACCCTCCTGCCCCGCCACATGCCAGCAAAAAATAAAATCTCGACCCGAAACATTAAAAAGGCCGACCGGGAGTGACTTTACTTCTGTTTACTTATATACGGTGCATTCGGCAACTTTCCAAATAACTTCAAATCAGTTTGTATGATTGGTTGCCGAGCAGACATTTACCAGAACCACGGGGTAGGTAAATGGTAGATATTTTATTTTTAAATATTTATTTTCTAGTAGTTGTTCATTTTATTTTCGATATGACTATTATGGTTTCTCCAATTGAGTTTCGGGAAAACGGAATGCTCTGATTTACGCTTGATTCATAAAAGCCAAATTATTCGTTTCATAGTTCGACAGAAATTTTCACGTTTCGAAGTCTGTTCTTCTTTGCTTTTGCAAAACAATAACGATCCTATTTTAGATCAGATCGTCACGTGTGGTGAAGAGTGAATCCTCTACGACAACAGATGTTCAGGATAGTGGTTGGACATCGATGTCATGACATCAAAATGAACAAAACTTTCGAAACAACCTCATTGCATCCTCTGATCTATCGTCGTAGGTATTGTGGGGTGGTTTTTGTCAGAACAGTTCAGATCCATCCATCAGTTTTTCAATTTTTTTTTCGGGTCTTTGCGGTCTTGTCCTTTTCAACAATTGCTGAATTTCCTCTAATGTTCTATTTTTAGTTTCAGGTAGGATAAAATAACATAAAATTGTTGAGACCATATTGCAAAAGCCAAAAAACAAGAATGGCGCGTACAGACCATAGTTGGAACTAAAAAAATAAAACAAAGCGTTGGCACTGAAAGATGCGGTACCAGTAGTGATTAATACAACGGTCATTGCTTTTGCCCGAAAACTAGCGGAAAACAACTCTCCAAGCATAAGAGTAGGCATGATGTTGATACCGTAAGAGCTGAAGATTGAATAAAGTATCATTCCAAACAAAGGAACCCAATGGTAGGAACTGATATCTATGTCTGGTTGTTCCTGATGAATAAAAAAGTATATCGCCTCGAAAAACAGAACTAAGCCACATGGAAAAAGTGATCCAATGTATGCCTTTCTTCTACCAAACCAGTCACCTGCAAAACTAGCAAACAGGCTCAGCAGAAGCCCAATACTGATAAAAATTATCGATGATGTTTCGGCCGAAATGGTTCCTACAGATTTATTGAAAATGTATTGAGTGAAAGTGACGAAAGCTTGTGCTCCCCCAAATACTTGTGAAATCCTAAGGAATATTCCAGCAGCAAGAGCTCTTCTATTGCTCCTTATCATTAATGTTTCTTTCCACGTCCCCTTTTCCGACATCTGCCTATCAACATCTGCTTTAAGAGATAAGAAATCTGCTGTTACATCATCTCTCTGTCTGAGTTTTTGTAACGACTTCTTCGCGTCATCATATCTTCCTCTCATCATGTAAAAATATGGCGACTCTGGCAGGAAAGAGAAGAAAACGAAAAACACAATTGGTATAGGAATGAAAATGTAGCTCGTCTGCCATACATTGAAGTAACTTCCAACCACAGTCACTAGCAATTCCCCTGTGAGAAATGACACGCTCATAGAATTACCCCAGGTGCCTCTAACGTTTGGTGACGAAACCTCCCCTAGGTAGGCAGGCAATGTGGCAAACATGATGCCATCCGAAATCCCCACTAAAATCCTGGCGAAGTAGAACACAAACACATTTCTTCCATAGGCCTTCAGTATCCAAACGGCTAGGTCAACAAATGCAGTCAATAGCAAAATACGCTTCCTTCCAAAAATATCACCTAATCTGGAGAAAATTGGACAGCTCAGCATCACAAAAATGAAAGGGAGCATCGCGAATTTCGAAGCTTCTTCTTCGCTGATATCGTAGTTTTCTTTGTCCTTCGAAATTTTCAAAATGAACGGCGATGGCCAGCTGAAGAAAATTCCGTTGGTGAGAGATGATAAACTAGCTGAAAAAATAGTTGTTGTGAATGAGAGTTCAGAACTTTTTAATGATTTTATTATATATTATGAGAGTTGAATTTATTTTACTTCTCTATTTCTTTACAGAAGAATGTGGGATTCTTCCAAAGAATAGAAGAAAGGAAAGATGTGTAGCTTTTACAAAGCTCCACAAATTGGAAGAGAAAGTCCTTTGAAAACAGTTAATTTCTTACTTGTGATGCACTGTTTGAGACCTTTGGTATATTAATGAATATTAGAGGAGTTTTTTTCCCAACACCAAACTGTTATTTCAACACCTTGACACGTGTTTCAATCACCAAGTGATCATCTTCAAGAGGAAGATCAAATTCATCATCATACTTACAAAGCTATCGTTATTTATACCATACATACCTGTTCCTTGAGTCTTGCGTCTTAAGTGTCTTAAATTAATTTTACAATTTGCCTCATCTACTTGTCTTAAATTAATTTTACAATGTGTCCTTATGTAATAGTCTGGTGAATCTAATTAATGAAATAATATTTTAACAAGCTATGTAGTATACTATTCGTTATTGATTCACCATCGTTATTCATAATATTATTTCTACACTCTCATAGGAATTTGAATGCCTGTTGTTGTTAACTTGACTAACTAAGCTTAATGAACTGAAGTCTATGGAATGGATTTGATGCAAAATATGATGGGTGACTGCTGATTTTTCAGGTCTTCCATATTTTAAGTGTGCTATTCGTTCCTTATATCTTATTTCAATATATTTTTTGTCTGTCCATAATATTTTGCATCGCAGTTCTTACATTTGATTTCGTAAATTCCAGACTTTTCTGGATACACTACAGATCCTTTTAGGAAGTCCAAAAGACACAATCGAGAATTCGGAAGAGTCTGGAATTTAAGAAATTAAATGTAAGGACTGCGATGCAAAATGTTTTGTTTAGCTACGCTCGAGAATGTCGAAATGACGTTATTTTCTTATAACTTTGCTGCCCGCCCCTTTCTTTACGTCACTCTCAAATTGTCAGATTACTGGAATATACACTTTTCAGCAGGTAATTAACTCAACCTACCTTAATCTGACGCGCTCGATAATTTCTAATGATCAATTTTTTTCTCTAATATGATCCTTTTTCCCTCACAGGCGGCCTTAAATATGGGGTTCATATTTGGTGGAGGTACTTAACCGGGTACAAGGTATCCCCCTGTATATCAATCTGCCGTGCTTCGGTAAATACTGAAATCCCCGCTTGGGCTTCCCTACCAATAGGAGTTTGCATCCCAAATCGTCCGTTTCACGGTTGTACTTCCCCCGACAAAAGGGAGGCCGTGGACTTTTGAGTTTGGAGTGTCTACATGATAGAATAGTACTGGATATAACCTGTATATAACCTGCATGGTCCGTGACCATGAGAGAGCAGGAATTGGAGCATTTCTCTTCAGAACAGCTGTCCGAGCAGCTGATGAACTCGGTTTAGTTTTCGACACTGAACGAGGTGACCATAACTTTTTCACCGAGTTGGGACTCGTTCAGAAGAAAGCTCATATAAAAGCCGCTGAGATCACCTCACTTCTGCGGGAACACAAGGATAAGCCAATGCATTGGGTCTTCTTCAATAACATTGGAGACCTTGGCTTATCAGAGCGCCTGACTTTCGATTTCCTCAGGTCGAATGGGCTGAAGTATGGAACTGAGAGTTCATCATGGCTTGCCAGGATGGTGTCTTCTCACAAGGTGCAATGCCTGCAGCGAGGCGCCCGAGACCCTAATGCATTTACTGTCAGCATGTCCATCATATGCGTTCTCGGCCTATATCCATCGACATAACGCAGCCCTAAGGGTGCTCTATTATCATCTACGCTCCGGGGGATATTGCATCCGTTCTGGGAAACGATAAGTGACAAATTTATTGGAAATATTCGTTTCTCACCCTCAGGCTCATAAAGCTAATAAGCCTTATGTAGTCCTTCTCGACCACCAGAGCAAAACGATCTTTGTCGTGGAGTTTTCAGGTCCTGGCGAGACGAATATCGTCCGAAAAGAGGAGGAAAAACGGATAAAATATCGAGATTTTCTCTTCGAACTCCGCACACTCTATCCAGACCATTCTGTCAAGATGGTTGTTCTTCTTCTTCTTCCATAATTTTTTCAATATTGATTATTTGTAGAAAATTCCGCTACTTTATGTTCAAATCCGCTCCGTCGAGTAAATTCCGCTACCGTTGAGTAAATTCCGCTAGCGGAATTCCGCTACGGTTGGCAACTCTGTCTTGGATATCGCGCGAGGCGTGCGTACTTAGAGCGTGGGTATTTTCCCCCCTTAACATAGGAGTTCGACCTGCGTGCCCGATATGCAACGAGCCAAGAGCGTTCAAAAATACCTGTGAGTGTGACCGGCTAATGGAATGCCTAGGAATTTAACAGCATCAAGGCCGGGACACAGCTGTCATACACCCTTCAGATCCGACTCCGATCATACAGCCGGACGAGTGTCTGAGAGGGAAATGGTACTTTAGTCCGAATAGAGTAGTTCACATCGTTCCGATTTACCGCTCCGGCTTGATACCATTGCAACCATTTCCCTCTCAGACACTTGTCCGACTGTATGAGTCGAGTCTGAAGGGTGTGTATGACAGGTGTGTCTCGGCCTTCATGGGTGTTTCTCAATGTGCAATATTTTTGGATGCTGATATTTGCAATAAGAACGGATTTTTTAATATTCCAACTGGGGCTCCCCCCCTGGGGATGAAAGGGAAGCGTTCGCATATGAAAATTACCTTTTCATCACTGTTTTTCCTTACCGCCATATTTTCGGAGGCTGATATTTTGTACGTAGGTTCGTTTTATGTTTTAGATGTGCAATAAAGAAGGATTTTTGAATATTTTCACTGAGGCGCCAGCCGCGGAGGAGAGAGGCGCGTTCATAAAATAAAGTTACCTTTTAATCACTGTTTCTCCATTGAATCATACCTATATGTTTAGGACATTGAAATCAAAGTTCAATCGTTCAATGGAAGAGCCCAGAAGAGTCAAGACCAATAAAGCTCGCCAAGTTCTATCAAATGTCAAAGTTTTGCTAACTGTTTTCTTCGATTACCGTGGCGTAATGCATCAGGAGTACTTGCCACATGGTCGTACGGTCAATAAGGAGTATAATCTTGAAAGTATAATCTGTTCATTCGTCATTGCTTTTTCTTAATCTTTCGGCCAAAAACAATACCGTAATCATTCAGCCATAGAATTAACCAGATTAGGCTCCCTGTGACTTTTTCCTGTTACCAAGATTGAGGGGCGCGATAGAAATTTTCCTAAACGCATTTTTTTCTTCTGATATGCACCGCTTGCGAGAAGAAAACGTCCGCTATTGTGGAAAAACGATTCAACAATTCAAAATGAATATTTTTTGAGAAAAATGAAAATTCACAATTTGAACAGACATCGTAACGTCTAAATTTCGGTACTAAACTCACTCACCAATTATCACTGCCAGAATTTCAACAGAATAATTTTCCGTTGAATTTTTTTTACATTTCGGTTTGAATAAATCCATAATTAAAATTACGTTCGGATGACAAATATTTCTGTCACCCAGTGGATTACAACTGAACTACAACAGAAATTTAAATGTTACACGAAGTGATATCAAGTCTACCTTATCTATTCAAAATTCGCTGTTTTCACGAGCAGTTATACAAGGTAGTTCCTTCAATATATTTCTAACAAAGAAGTACAGCATGAAAGTGGTTGAAATTTGATGAGAAATAATTCGCGGTAGAGATTTAAGGTTATCTGGACTACTCCCACGTCTAGCAATATTGGTTTTTTAAATTCTAATCAAACCTCAGATACATTGAGAGTTCAAAACGTATCCATTTTATTTCACCACAGAATATATCGCCATCAGGTGACTAAGTAGACTAAGAGACTACATACACTATGCGATTCCCTGCAGGCCGTCGCCTCAACAGGCGATCGTAAGACCAATATCGCCGACTTCCATACACTAGCAGTCAACCGCCTGCAGGCGGCCATACTGAACTGCAGATGATAGCCTGAAGATAGCACACACTACAGTCCGGTACCTGCAGGCGGAATGTCGGTCAATGAATCAGGACTGCAGGCGGACTGTCGCGGCCAAGAAACAGGACTGCAGGAGATCCCCAGTTTATCACCATGCTCCGTCGGAAACGTTGTGCGTTTGTTTTGTCAGTTCTTGGGGAACCCCAAGAAAAAAGGGTCTGGGTAAAAAGTTGGCTGCGAGATAGAGAGGCTAGCTCTCACATGTCGTTGCTCCGTGAACTGAGGCTGTCTCACCACGAAGATCTGGTGAATTATCTGAGGATGAGTGAAGAAAATTTCCAAAAACTTCTAAATTTGGTNTGGTGGGTCTACGACAGGGATATAATACACAAGTTTCGTGTGAAAAAGCAAAGGAGAATCGTGATAATTACAAGAACTATTTTGTTGGAGAAGGTGCAGTTTCCTGGCAAAACAAATTTGTCACCAATTAGGGTGAGAGGTTGAAATATTATACTGTGAAAATTTGTTTGTACTGTTGTATGTATTTGATATGAATTAAAGAATAAATTAGAATAGAATAAAAATAGTAACTTACGAGTTGTGATTCCTCACTCCCAATCGTCGCTCTAGTTTCTTCATGGTCGGCTGTAAACAATAGCAAGTCGAAATACCACAGTGACGGGGTATACGCGTCATCTCCCGATGAGCCCGACTTTTGCTGTTTTACTTTCTTCAACTCTTTACGGAACGCACATCTCAAGTTATTAATTTTTTTTCACTGTGTCAACGGTGGCTGACGGCACAGTTTTTTGATACAACTTCAACAACTCTCCGTACGCCTCATCCCGCGATCTTTTATTTGCGTAGGAATCGTCCTTGACTTTCCATAAACAGGGGTAGGCCCGATATAATTCAATAAATGCGGAAATGAAAGGAGGTTTCCCGTCCATCTTTCCCCGTCAGTCCAATCTCGGCTGGTGAATGATCTCACGAAAATTATCTCACGCAAAACTGATGGAAACGGTGACAACAGATCGCTTGCCTGCAGGCTAACTGACAGTGTGTGGTGGGGGCTGCATGAGATCATTTTCGGACAGGTCGCTCTGCCTGTCGCGAATCTCTCATCCTATCCCCACCTGCCCGGCAACCACACACCTTCAGTCCGGGCGAACTGCAGTCCATTATCTTCAGATCAACTGATAAATGTGTGGGCAATGCCGATCTACGGCCTTACAATTATCTTCAGTTGTATGGGGCGTTTAAGGTGTTGAAGTATTCATTCTATGTATCAACATGAATCGATTATAGAGAATATCGTCCTCAACTATAAATACAGACCTATATCATTGGTAGCAATATTTCATTCGGGAATTCTATTACTCCATCTTGATACAAAAGAAAAAGTGGGAATCTTTCAAAGAAAGGAAGGAAGGAATCAATTTTAAAAGTACTAACTCTATACATAGATGTGTGGATCATTCATATGTCATCTTCATTTTCTTCAGGTTGGAAATTTTTTCCCTTACCATTTCAACTGTCTTTCGTCAGGAGGACGAGTGGTTCATAACTGAAGGTGTTTTTTGGTGACGACATAAAGATCAATGACCTCTATGCCGTCCTGGCCTTGTGTACGCCTTCCTGACTGGGGTATTTGATGAACAAACTTCACTTCCCCTTCACTCAATTGAGCGACGGGGCCTTCTGTATCGGGAGGGGTGCGTCTATAGTATAATCTACAGCTTCCATAACTAATGGGTGTGTAGATCATGCATAGAAGTAACTTTCAGACACAAACTGGAAGAAAAAGCCCGCCTGAAATATCTTCTTTCTCATAAACATTGAATTACACGAAAGAAAAATTCTTTCGAAAATAATGCTTTTATATGAACACTGAATTATACAAAAAACACTTTT